CGAAGCAAATGCCATGGACATGGGGTAAGCTGGGATGGGGGAGTGGAAGAGGAGCAGGGAGCCTCTGGAAGGGAAAAGGAAACAGACATATCTGGGTTCTTTTTTTTTTTTTGAGATGGAGTTTTGCTCTTGTTACCCAGGCTGGAGTGCAATGGCGTGATCTCGGCTCACTGCAACCTCCGCCTCCTGGGTTCAGGCAATTCTCCTGCCTCAGCCTCCTGAGCAGCTGGGATTACAGGCACGCGCCACCATGCCCAGCTAATTTTTTGTGTTTTAGTAGAGACGGGGTTTCACCATGTTGACCAGGATGGTCTCGATCTCTTGACCTCGTGATCCACCCGCCTCGGCCTCCCAAAGTGCTGGGATTACAGGCTTGAGCCAAAATGCCCAGCCCATATCTGGGTTCTAATCCTTGCTCCACGACTTCCTCGTTGTGTGACCTGGGGCAGGTTACTGACTTCACTGAGCTCAGTTTCCCCACCTATCAAATGGCTATAATAGTAATATCCGCTTATTGGAGTATATAAGAGGAGTATGAGAGCATCTAGCACAGGCTGGGCATGGTGGCTCACGCCTATGATCCCAGTGTTTTTTTTGTTTTGTTTTGTTTTGAGACAGTCTCGCTCTGTTACCCAGGCTGGAGTGCAGTGGCGCAATCTCGGCTCAAACGTTTCTCGTGTCTCAGCCTCCTGAGTAGCTGGGACTACAGGCATGCACCACCGCACCCAGCTAACTTTTGTATTTTCAGTAGAGACAGGTTTCACTATGTTGGCCAGGCTGGTCTTGAACTCCTGTGAGGTAAGTGATCTGCCTGCCTTAGCCTCCCAAAGTGCTGGGATTACAGGCATGAGCCACTGCGCCCGGCCAAATCGCAGGATTTGGGAGGCCAAGTCAGGAGGATCACTTGAGGCAAGGAGTTCAAAGCCAGTCTAGTCAACATAGTCAGGTCTCATCTCTATCAAGGAAAAATGTAAAAATTAGTCAGTCATAGTAGTGCACACCTGTGGTCCTAGCTACTTGGAAGGCTGAGGCAGGAGGATTGCTTGAGCCCAGGAGTTTGGGGCTGCAGTGAGCCAATAATTGCACCACTGCAATCCAGCCTGGACAACAGGGTGAGACTCTGTCTTACTCGCTGTCTAAAATTTAAAAATTAGGCCGGGCGTGGTGGCTCATGCCTGTAATCCCAGCACTTTGGGAGGCCGAGGCGGGTGGATCACAAGGTCAAGAGATTGAGACCCACCTGGTCAACAAGGCGAAACCCTGTCTCTACTAAAAATACAAAAATTGGCTGGGCATGGTGGTACACGCCTGTAATCCCAGCTACTTGGGAGGCTGAGGCAGGAGAATTGCTTGAACCCAGGAGGCGGAGGTTGCCGTGAGCTGAGATCGCGCCATTGCACTCCAGCCTGGGTAACGAGCGAAACTCCATCTCAAAAAAAAAAAAAAATTAAATTGAATTAAAGAAAGGAAGCATATAGCACAGTGTCCAGCACACAGGAGGTGCTCAGTAAGTGTTAGTTTGGTCTGATTTGCTCTGGTGTGGATAAAGAGCCTCTCTCTGGTCTCTACGCATCATACCCAGCACAACCTCCAGCTGTAGAAATCCAAGATCTTGAGAAGCTGGAGATAAGGAGACAGTTCCAGAGTGCAGTGCTCCTCATTGCTCTCCTTGTACCTCCTAGGTCTGTGACAGCAACAGGCACTGCCACTGTGAGGAGGGCTGGGCACCCCCTGACTGTACCACTCAGCTCAAAGGTAGCATGGGGGTAGGGGGCAGGGGCAGCTGGGAGGGCAAAGCGGCTCACGCTTTACCTTTCCCCCTCGGCCCTCTCTTTCTGACCCCCCCATCTGCTGAGTCTGTGCCCCTGGACCTCTTCACTCTCCCTGATCGCTTAACTTCACTCCCTGTCCCTGCTCCTTCATGGGTCTAGAGTTCTTAGCCCTGCCCTCCTTTGTTTTTTTGTTTGCTTGTTTGTTTGTTTTTTTGAGATGGAGGCTTGCTCCGTCACTCAGGCTCACTGCAACATCTGCCTCCAGTTCACTTGATTCTCCTGCCTCAGCCTCCTGTGTAGCCGGGATTACAGGCACCCACCACCGCGCCTGACTAATTTTTGTATTTTTAGTACAGAAGGGGTTTCACCATCTTGGCCAGGCTGGTCTCAAAATTCTAACCTCATGATCCACCTGCCTCAGCCTCCCAGAGTGCTGGGATTATAGGCACGTGAGCCACCATGCCCGGCCAGCCCTGCCTCCTTTAAACCTGCCTTCCGCCCACAGCAACCAGCTCCCTGACCACAGGGCTACTCCTCAGCCTCTTGGTGTTACTGGTCCTGGTGATGCTTGGTGCCAGCTACTGGTACCGTGTTCGCCTGCACCAGCGACTCTGCCAGCTCAAGGGACCCACCTGCCAATACAGGTATGAGCATCACCTCCCTGCTACCACTTCCTTCAACTTGGGACAGTGCTGAAGCCTGCCTCACTTCTGTAGCCCCTGCCACCTGGTTCTGAGCCCCAAGCACCTTGGACCCTAAATTTGCTGACTGCCACAGCCCCACACCTTCCTTCCCTACGCGTGCCCATAGCTCTTCACCTCACAGCGGTGCCCCTGTGGGGTGGCTGGAGTGCTACAGCCATTTATCCCCAGGGCCCCTATGCTGGATAAGCCGGGCCTTCCCTCAAGCTAATCAACTCTCCCATTGCCACAATTCTACCCAAACCACACACAAGTGCCTGCAAAGGGATAATGCCACTCAAGGATGGCATAAGGTAGAGAACAGGGTCTGAGCCTGGGCTCTCTCCCTCCTTGCCTTTCCTCATGCTTAGGGCAGCCCAATCTGGCCCTCCTGAAAGGCCAGGACCTCCGCAGAGGGCCCTGCTGGCTCGAGGCACTAAGGTGAGTCCTGTATACCAGAGGAAGGGGAACTCCAGCTTGGCCGGGCATCTAGCTTGGGCCCTGAGGGGGAGGCATTAGAGGCTCCAGACTCAGAGAAAGGCTAGCACTGCCCAAGTCAGTCGAAGGAGTCAGGGCCAGCCCTGCCCTTCCCTTCCCTCCTCTCCCCTGAGCTACAGGCAGAGAAGCCGAGTCCAGAAGAGTGGGGAGGGCAGCCAGCTGGAGCAGGGGCTGCTGGGCTCCATCCACTGGCTGAGAGGTGGCTTTGAGAGGTGGGTCTATCCATGCCCCCAGCAGAAACCCCAGAAGGGTACAAGGGCGGTGTTGCTCAGAATGGCCTTCCGTGGGCCCAGATCACCATACTAGAAGGGCTGGTGAGCACCCCCACCCTGAGCCCTCTGCTCGGATGATGGGAGTGTGTGCATGCCCCTCTCCACTTGCTCCCCACCTGCATGCACCTGCATAACTGCATGCACACCGCCCACTCCCTGGGCCCTGCCAGCCCTCCCTGGGCATTGACCCTTCTCTGCTCACTCTGTCTCTCTGCTTCCTCTTTCCCCTCTGTGCCTGTCTGCCCCTCCTACCCTCTCAGCAGGCTAATGCTCTCGGCTTCCCGGCCCCCCCTTCCAGGCCGCTGCCGCCTGACCCTGTGCCCAAGAGACTCCAGGTAAATCTGGGCCAGGCCCCGCCCTGAGCTAAAGCAGGTGGGAGGCTTGATACCCAACTGCAGTTCTCATCCCTGCTCCCTGCCAGCGGTGCTCTTCATTAGGTGATAGCCTTCAGACACTCTTGAGCCCCAGAAGCAGCAAAGGGTGAGCCTCCTGCCTTGGCTTCTACCACCATCTGGTGGTCAATGGCGGGACTGCAATCGGCCAGGGCCTCCGCGGTTGACCTACACCTTCCTCCCCTGAGACATCAGCTGGCATGCCTCCAAGCCCTCTGCGCATGCCCTCATTCTCTCCTGCCCCCTGGCTGACTTTGCATGTTGACTTGAACCCCTCTGGGGAATCTCTTTGCATGCCTACTGCCCCTGGCTATGCTCTCACAGCCACTGCCCCTCTCTCTGTTCAGGCTGAGCTGGCTGACCGACCCAATCCCCCTACCCGCCCTCTGCCCGCTGACCCGGTGGTGAGGAGCCCGAAGGTAACGGTGCGGGGAGAGAAGGGTACAGCCTCTCCCCCCACCTAGGGCAGTGGTGCTGGTAGCCATGACGGTGGTGGCCGTGGCGAGATGTCCCCTCAGTGTATGATGGCACATATCCCAGTGCCACCTTTAATGGTGACAGGTTTGTTTGCAGGCAAAGGTGACCTCTGGTGCTGCCCCCAAGCTGGTGTTCCCCAGCACCAGTGCGTTGGGGGTGGGTAACATGAAATCCCCCCACACACACACCCAAGCCAGCCTCCTGACTTCTCTCCCTCAGTCTCAGGGGCCTGCCAAGCCCCCACCCCCGAGGAAGCCACTGCCTGCTGACCCCCAGGGCCGGTGCCCATCGGGTGACCTGTCTGGCCCAGAAGCTGGAATCCCGCCCCTAGTGGTACCCTCCAGGTAGGCAAGGAGGAGCCCTGGAGATGGGTGAGTGGGGCGAGTGATCTAGGGGAAGGGACCTCTGACCCTTTTTTCTCGGCTTCCCGCATTCCAGACCAGCGCCACCACCTCCAACAATGTCCTCGCTCTACCTCTGACCTCTGGAGGTTCCGCTGCCTCCAAACTGGACTTAGGACTTCAAGAGGCGGGTGTGCCCTCTGGAGTCCCCTACCATAACTGAAGGAGCCAGAGACTGGATGCGGTGTCTTAAGGCTCCGGGCACCACCACGCGCTGTGAAGCAGCACTCTGGCGACCTGCCCGCGTATTTGCAGCCGGGGCTTTGGGAGGGGCTGGGGGTTGGACAGGGCTGAGGGAGTTGCGCACAGCCTGTCTCTGCTCAGCTGCAATAAACGAGACATCTTGGGAGAGTTCCTCGGAGTTTGTCTGCTCCTGGAAGCAGGGTCGCTCCTGCTGCGGTTCCAGGTCTGGCCGCCAGGAGACGCTGCCGCCTCAGACGAGGGAGGGCTGTTGTGGGCGGGATACCAGAATAGGTCGGCGTGTGTCCCCGGGATGCTCGCGGCTTACCTCTGCCCAGACTGGGGTGGCTCTCGGCGCAATCTGTCAAGCTGTTGGACCTGCCGTCCCCGCTCTGACCATTGGCTGGGAAAAGTGGATCTGGCAGATGTTCTCAGAGCCTCGGAGCCAGGGCGGAGCGGGGCTGCGGCTCCCACGATCCCAAGGCCGCGCACCTGCCTCCTCCCTCTCCGCCGCCGCCACCTGAGGGATCGGGAACAAAGGTGCTTTGTGCAGGCCGCAACCACCTCATACTTCGGCTTCAGGACTGGGGCTGCTTGGGCCCCCAGCCCAGAACGAAGGTGTGGGGCGGCAAAGGACAAACGCCAATCCCAAAGTGAGCATCCTAGCGCGTCACCTAAGACTCTTTAGAGAAGGGGGTCCCAAAAGCTGTGTTGTCCCTTACGCTCGCACTGTCCCTAGATCTGCAAAGAAAACGGGGCAGTGTTTGAAGGTGGTTGGACAGGCTTCACGGATCCTCGTTCACGCCTCACTTTCCCCTATCTGGGCAAAGGTTATGAGTCCTTACGTAAAATCTTCCACACTTCTAATAAGGTAATCTACCCTAAAGCAGACACGAAAGGGCATGACCTCCTTATAAATACTGCGGATGGAACACGCCATTCTTTGCAGTGCGGTGCAGCCTCAGCGGAAGCTTAGGCGAACCCGGCGGGCACTGCGGTGCACAGAGGGTTAACTGGAGTTGGCGCTGGGTGGAGAGGAGGGAACGCGCTCCCATTGGCGGAAAGTTATCCAGGGGCGGGTCTGTGAATCTGCGCACCCCACCCCCCTTTCCACAACCCCCCACTTCACTTTGTACCTTTCTCGCCTCGACTGTGAGGCGGGCCGGGACCTGCCGAGCCAGACAAGACCGGACCTCTGGGGCGATGCGGCTGCTGCCCCTGCTGCGGACTGTCCTCTGGGCCGCGTTCCTCGGCTCCCCTCTGCGCGGGGGCTCCAGCCTTCGCCACGTCGTCTACTGGAACTCCAGTAACCCCAGGTAGCCGGGCCGAACCGGGCGTGCGCCTAGCCAAGACTGCGCGCTCCTGGGCTTTGCGCGCGCTCGCCATTCGCTCTTTGCGCGGCGCCGCCTGAGCCTGGCCGCGCGCCGGGGCTCCTTTGTTTGAGCCGGCGGGGGAGGGGGGAGGGGCGAGGCGCTCCCTGGGTCTCCCCACAGCCCGTTTGTGTTGGGGGACAGGCAGAAGACCCCCAGCCCCGTGGGTTGCCTAAGGGGTCTTGGAGCTTGGAGCTGGGGGGCCTTTGCCCGCACTCTGGGCTCCGCCCCCCTCGCTGCTCTCCTGGCGATCCCCAGCCTCCCGCAGGCTGGAGCTGGGGCGGACGAACTTGAGAGCGAGGGAGGGGGCTTTACTCTTGAGATAGAGCTTGGGTTACTCCCTTGCCCGCTGGGTCTCACCTCTGGCTCTCGCTCTGTCTCCTGATCTCATTTGCTATCTCTGCTTTCATCTCGTCTTTACTGGTCCTCTGTTTCTTTCCAGTGTCAGCCCTGCCCTTCTAGCCGAATCGCCTCTGGGCAAGTCTCCTGACCTTGCTAACCTCATTTATCTCACCTGTATAATGGGCTAATAATACCTAGTACCCTGGGAAGTCCGGCGGGGTAAGTGAGGTCATGTATGTAAAGGAGGTGCAGGGTGTGCAGATATAAATTATTATTTCTTTCTCTCTCCTGAGCTGCCTGCCTTTGAACCTCACTCTATTTTACTGTTTCCATCCCCCTCCCCAAATCTCCCTGCCTCTCCTCTGTTTCCCATCTGTTTTCCTTTCTGATTTTCTACTTGAGACAATCTGTGATTCTATTCATTTGTTCACTCACTAACATTTAAACACAAACTGTGTGCCCGGCCCTGTGCTAGGTTTCAGGGGATGCCACTATATAGATGAGAAGATCGAGACCCTGCCCCTTGGGATTCCACACTCTCCGGAGAGCCTGCATAAAGACAGGTCATTACAATACCAATACCAAGTGATAAGAGCTATTGTTGTCCTTGAACTCGGAATTCCTCTGTCTCTGTTACAGACCGGTGCCTCTGAATCACTGTTAAAATGCAGGTTTCTTACCCCCGTTCTTAAGGTTTCTGACTCATTCATTCAATCCACAAATATTTGTGAAGACTGTCTTGTGGAGGACACTTTTCCAGGCACTGGGGATGCAGTAGAACGAACTTACCAAGGCCCTGTCCTTGCTCAGCTTGCGTTCTATGTCTGGGCTGACTGAGCCCAGGAATCTTCATTTCTTATCAGAAATGCTACAGGTGGTCCTTGGACCACCCATTGGAGGCTCCTAAGTCACGCTTCACTGTGTTTATGGTATGGGGGGTGGTTCATGCAGCTTTCTGTACAGTGGGGAGGGCCCGTTCCAGCTCTGCCCTCCTGTGCTGGCTTCCCCACGCAACTCCCAAGAGGTGGGGCAGTCTCAAGAAGACTGAAGACTGGGTGATGTGTGGACTCCCTGCCATGCCTGGCACTTCCTTCTCCTGGCCAAAAAAGGGAGGCACCTAGACCTAGCACCGACTCCTCCTTTTTTTTTTTTTTTTTTTTTTGAGATGGAATTTCAGTGTTGTTACCCAGACTGGAGTGCAATGGCATGATCTCGGCTCACCGCAACCTCCGCCTCCTGGGTTCAAGCAATTCTCCTGCCTCAGTCTCCTGAGTAGTTGAGACTACAGGCGCGTACCACCATGCCCAGCTAATTTTTGTATTTTTAGTAGAGACGGGGTTTCACCACGTTGACCAGGATGGTCTTGATCTCTTGACCTTGTGATCCACCCGCCTCGGCCTCCCAAAGTGCTGGGATTACAGGCATGAGCCACCGCGCCCGGCCCATTTTTTTTTTTTTTAGTTTTTAGAATGTATTCATTAGAGACTGGGTCTTGCTCTGTCACCCAGGCTGGAGTGTGGTTTCGTAATTAATAGCTCACTACAGCCTCAAATTCATGGCCTCAAAGGATCCTCCCGCCTCAGCCTCCCATATAGCTGGGACTACAGGAGTGCACCACCACTCATGGCTTTTATTTATTTATGGTAGAGACAATCTCACCATGGTGCCCAGGCTGGTCTTGAACTCCTGGCCTCAAGCAACCCCCCTGCCTCGGCCTCCCCTTAGTGCTAGGATTCAGATGTGAACCACTGCACGTGGCCTCCCTCAGTCTTTTTTTTTTTTTACCGTGATAGTCTTTTCCCTATTGGGTTGAAGTCTAAAGGAGACTGTTCCTCACTTTATGTCTGTGTTTGCGGAGACCTTTCCCAGCCCGTCGCACCTCTGTCTGCAGCCACACTGCCGCTCATGTCCACATCTGTACCTCCTTGCCTCCCTGCCCAGCTTCACAGCATCCATCCATCTGAGGTTGGTCAAGCCTGGTGCTGTACCACACCGAGCGTTGGGCACCGGGGCCAGACAGGTGTGTGGCAGCTCTAGCCTCACACACAGGGTGTGGTGACCCCCCCTTCTCACATCTGAGCTGTGTGGTTATGGGCACCGCAGGCCTTAGCCTCCCGGAACCCGTGAATCAATCATCTCATCCATTTCTTGCACTCTCTTTGTCTCTCAAGAGCTGTCAGTCTGGGGACCTCCGACCTTCCTGAGCTTCCCTGTTGCTCATGGGCCTCTGAGAAGGGGTGTCTCTGGCCTCCATGGCCCAGCCATGTGGTGCCCTCCCCTCTTCAGCCCACTCCTGCCTTGTACCTGCAGGCTGCTTCGAGGAGACGCCGTGGTGGAGCTGGGCCTCAACGATTACCTAGACATTGTCTGCCCCCACTACGAAGGCCCAGGGCCCCCTGAGGGTCCTGAGACATTTGCTTTATACATGGTGGACCGGCCAGGCTATGAGGCCTGCCAGGCAGAAGGGCCCCGGGCCTATAAGCGCTGGGTATGCTCCCTGCCCTTCGGCCACGTCCAATTCTCAGAGAAGATTCAACGCTTCACACCCTTCTCCCTGGGCTTTGAGTTCTTGCCTGGAGAGACTTACTACTACATCTGTGAGTGGCCAAGGGCATGCTGGACACCTCCTGGGAAGGGTGGGGAGGGGAAGGAGAGGCCCCGGAGGAGGAGGGGGCTGGTCTCCAATGGACATGGGGGCATGGGCTGAACTCAGGACTGAGGAGGGACATGTCTAGAGAGGAGAAAGTAGGAATGAGGAAAGGGGCCAGGGAGGTGAGAGGCCTGGATGGGGCCTGATACATGGGTGTGGCCCCAAAGTAAGGAAATGCTTTCCAGGGACCTGGAGGGAAGAAAAGCTGGGAGGGCCTGACACAGTCTAAGGCATACGAAGGGGTGACTCCCTGCGCTGACTTCTTCCCAATTTCCCACTACCCAGCGGTGCCCACTCCAGAGAGTTCTGGCCGGTGCTTGAGGCTCCAGGTGTCAGTCTGCTGCAAGGAGAGGAGTAAGTGGGTCAGGCCTGGACCCTGCTGGCCAATGTGGGGCGCCGGGAAGGAGGGGAGGAGTGAGAAGAATCTGGGAGCATCAGACCCCAGGGGTACTGGTGAAGCTTCAAGCTGTGACCTCTTCTCCCTATTTAGCTTTGTGGGAGCTTCCACTGCACCACCATCCCCCCACTTCTTTTTTTTTTTTTTAAGAGACAGAGTCACTGGGCATAGTGGCTCATGCCTGTAATCCCAGCACTTTGGGAGGCCGAGGCAGGTAGATCACCTGAGGTGGGGAGTTCGAGACCAGCCTAGGCAACATGGTGAAACCCTGTCTCTTCTGAAAATACAAAAAATTAGCTGGGAGTGGTGGTACATGCCTGTAATTCCAGCTACCTGGGAGGCTGCGGCAGGAGAATTGCTTGAACCTAGGGGGGTTCCAGTGAGCCAAGATCATGCCGGTGCACTCCAGCCTAAGCAACAAGAGTGAAACTCCTCAAAAAAAAAAAGAAAAGAGACAAGATCTTGCTGTATTGCCCAGGCTGGAGTGCAGTGGCAGGATCATAGCTCACTGCAGCCTCAAACTCCTGGGGTCAAGTCATCCTCCTGCCTCAGCTTCTCCAGTAGCTGGGATTACAGGCCTATGCCACCACAACTGGCTAAATTATTTTTTATTTTTTGTAAAGATGGGATATCACTGTGTTGTCCAGGCTGGTCTCGAACTCTTGATCTCAAGAGATCCTCCTGCCTCCCAAAGCATTGGGATTACAGGCACAAGCCACCGTGTCTTATGTGGCCTCACTGTACAATATTTTTTTTTCTTTTGAGACAGTCTTGCTCTTGCTCTGTCACCCAGGCTGGAGGGCAGTGGTGTGATCTCAGCTCACTGCAACCTCACCTCCTGGGTTCAACCAGTTCTCCCGCCTCAGTCTCCCAAGTAGCTGGGACTGCAGGCATGCACCACCCAGCTAATTTTTTTTCTTTTTAGTACATGTGGGGTTTCACCATGTTGGCTAGGCTGGTCTTGAACTCCTGGCCTCAAGTGATCCACTCACCTCAGCCTCCCAAAGTGCTGGGATTACAGGTGTCAGCCACTGCACCCAACCTACTGTACACTTTTTTAAGGTGGACCAAGAGAACAGAATGTCCGGGGCAAGGCTCTTCAAGGCCTTAGCTGGGTTGGTTGTCTCTAGTGGCAATTTGGGGAAGGCTTGGAAGTTGGGGCTTAGAAAGGATGAGGTCATAGATCATGGGAAGGAAGTGGCTGGTTTGGGAGACCCCGGAGGACGGGAAAGGGGGGAAATGCTAATGGGAAGGGCAGGAAGGGGACCACTGAAGTGGGAAGACTGATCAGTGCTACCGCCTCCCCCTCACAGAGTCTGAGTCAGCCCATCCTGTCGGGAGCCCTGGAGAGAGCGGCACATCAGGGTGGCAAGGTGGGGACACTCCGAGCCCCCTTTGTCTCTTGCTATTGCTGCTGCTCCTGATTCTTCGTCTCCTGCGAATTCTGTGAGCCAAGCAGAACTTCCCTCTCACCCCAAAGAGCCAGAGCCCTCCCAGGACCCCTGGAGGAGAATCCCTGTTGCCTGCACTGGGGGTACCAATCCACACCAACAAGATGGAGCATTGATGGGGGAGACTGGAGAGTCTGAGGTGACCCTTGCAGGTGCCTGTCCCCTCATCACAGACTAAAGAAGAACTGCAGGCAGCCCTGGACACCCTGAAGCAGAGGCAAGACAAACACAGGTGTTTTGCAGGCTGTTCTGAGGGTCTCAACCTATCCCCCAGGAGGACTGGGATTTGGTACGATCAGATCAAGCCAGCTGAGGGCCAAGGCTGAAGACCTGGGGACAGGTGGATTGCTGGACCAGGGTAAAGAAGCAGCCCTGCCATCTGTGCCCTGTGGACCTCTTCCCTGGGGCAGCACCTTGCCCCGCCCCAGGGGGTCACTCGCTTGTCTTCTATGAAGACGGACTCTTCATGAGGTTGAATTTCATGCCAGTTTGTATTTTTATAAGTATCCAGACCAAACCTTCAATAAACCACCCATCTTTCTGTTGCCCTCCTCAACCTACTGCCCTCAGACCCCTTCCCTGGTAGCAGGAACCCCTGTGGCCTGTGCTCTCAGCTTAGCTTGGCCTGACCTCCATGCCAGCTATGCTCAGGCCATCCATGCCAGGCCTCAGTGGGCACCCCTCTGGGCAATGTGAGGTGGTGCCAGTGGCAGCTGTGGAGCTTGGCACCCTCTCTCACCTCCCCAGCCGGCTTCCTGTGCTGAGGAGGGGCAGATGCTCCTGACAGTCCATCCGCTTGGGGCCCTGCCCAAGTCCTGGTAGCACCAAGCAGGGTGCCCAGCAAAAGCAGGGCCTAGTATTAATAGAAAGACAGCATCTGGGTTTCAGAATGCCTGGGTCCTTGAGAGCTGGTCATCCCTCTCCCTCCCCAAGGGCCCTCTGGGCGGTGCCTGGCCTAGAACCGGGAAGGTGGGGTCAGATCAAAGCCTCCTTCCCCAGCGGCCTCTTTGTTCTTAGCTTTTATAAGGAGGAGGAGGTGGGGCTGAGGAGGGAGGGCCCCCTCTGCTCTCAGCCCACACTGTCTTTCCTACCTCTGGCAGGCGAGGCTGTGATCCCCACAAGGCCAAGTGGGGCCCTCTTTCTGAATGGTGCCTCCTGGGTGGTGCCCGGGTAAGGGGCGCCCCTTCCCCTGCAGCTGTGCTTTACCCGCCCCGGTGCCCCGCAGCCTCCACTGGCACGGTGCCGGCCGGCCTGGCACCAAGCCAGCGATCGATAGGTGGCTGTTGTGCTGATTAGCTCGGGCCGGCTGCGGCAGCGAGAGGCAGCGTGTGAACACGGTTGGGGGGGTGCAGGGGAGACGGCAAGGGGGGCGGAGGGAGGGCTCTAGGTGTCCAGAGACCGACACAGAGGTGCTAGAGTTTTTGAGCTCCTCCCCCACCCTCTTGCACACCTAGGTCAGATCCCGGTCTCTCGGAGGGGGCGGGTGCCCTGTCCCCTGCCACCACGCACAGATTTCAGCTGTCATCGTTCATGTTAATTCCATTGCTCTGGCTGAGGCCTTGGGCAGCACCGCGGGTAGAGCAGACCCCAGTCAGTCCCTTCCCCCATTCGAGGACACCTTTCAGAAAATGCCTCTTGTAGATAGGTGCGTGTATCAGGACCTTCACCCCAAACCTTAGTATTTAGCGGGGGCGAGGCTCTGGGGCGCAAAGGAGAGGGTGGCGTCGGCTGGAGAAGCTATGGGCTAGGTCTTCAGGTCCTGGGTTCAAGTTCCATCTTTACCGTCAACCAGGAGGGTGTCTATAGGTTGCCGCGGAAACCCACTTAGGGCTACCTCTGCCCCTCCCAAGTGAGGCCATAGGCAGAGTAGACTGGGAGCGACTGGTTAGCAGCCCTGGCCCTGAACTGAGAACTGTGGGGGTCTCACCCAGCTCCCAACGGCCCCAGGCCACCCCCCGCTTCGCGGAACAAGGCGGGCGCGCTCGCTCCCGCGGCTGGGGCTGGCGCGCGGATCCGCTGCTGATAAGAACGCATGTGCGAAAGAGACGCGGGGCCCTGTCGGCTTTCCCGCACTCAGACGCACGCCCTCACGGTCGGGCTCTTCCACTTAACACGGACGCACGCCCCTGCCGGCCGCCCAGCCCTTTGCAGGTGCAAGGGCGGAGGCCTCTGCGACCAAGGGAGCTGGGCTGGGGAGGTGGGGCGCGGGGCGGGGGTTTGTAAACTTAGGACCGCCCAGCCACAGGCGCTCAGGCCAAGCCGGCCTTCCCTACACTCACTTTCCTCATAGCCTGCGCGGGCGGCTGATTCCGTCCTGGGGCGCGTCCCCATGGAAAGCCAGGGCCAAGTCCACGCATAGGGCCGAGACCGGCTGCAGGTGCTGGGAGGTCTTCCGGGCACCGGGCCTTACCCACGAGAAGTCCTCGAGGCGCGTTCCTGGGTGCGGTTCCAGGAGGCTGGGCACGCCTGCAAGTTTTGGGGCGTCACCGATGTCCCCTAAACTCAGTAGCGTTAGGTGGCTCAGGGTGGGGCCCTCAATTTGCTGGGCCTGCCCTAGTCTCTCCCGAATAGATGGGAAAACTTCACTCTTCTTTACCTCGCCCAATCTCCCTGTTTGAAAGCCTGAGAGTCTCAGCCTGAGAGTCTCCTGCTCCACACTTTCTGGGGTTGCAGATCTTCCTTTTCTCCTCCAGATTCAACCCTGAAATTTTGTTCTTTTTCTGTCACCTCCCCTTTTTTTCTTCCCTTTTGTTAGTTCTTTCTTTCCTTTCTTTCTTTTTCATTCATTCAGCACATTGTGAGCTTCCAGCGTGCCCTTCTTTCAGTAGGCCAGTCGCTAGTTGGGGTCGTCGGGGGATCCCCAGCGGTGACGCAATTGAAAAGGGTGCAATCTGGCTTCTAAATAGCCAATAGAATCCCGGGGCTTGGGGCATGAGGTCATCAGCGGTGAGGCCCATTGGTTCAGGTCTGGAAGTGAGGAGGGGGTCCCCATAGCAACCGACGGTGCGTCCGAGTGCAACCTGGAGAGTAATGTTTGCCTGAGCTGCTGTGGCAGCTTGGGTGGGTGCTTGGGATGGGGTATGGAAGCTGGGGTGGAGCTCAGCTTCTCAGGTCCTGCACCCCTAGCCCAGACAAGCTCTTATTTCTCTTGAGATGCTTTTTCTCACTCAAAGTAATGGTCAGGACCACTTAACGCAGAAAGATTAGGAGTGGGTTGGTTATCGGTGACAGCATTGGGGTCCTGGGTGCAGAGCTGCTGCCACCAGGAATGTTAGTGCTGAGATCCTGTGTTCATCTGCATATCGTCTGCATCTCATTTGCATTCTCTTCATTTAAGGTCAAAGTGGGCAGACATCTCCACATCCCCAGCCCTGTCGCTTGTCTGTTTCTGGAATCTATCCCTGAGTGGCTCTGTAATCTGTCCCTCAGTTCTCCACCTTCATACCCCACCTCTCCCACTCTCCAGTGTCTGCTGGGGACTGGACGGCGGCAAAGCCAGCTACAGGAGAAAGGATAAGGAGTTTGTTCTCCCTCTGGATGTTTGGTGACAGATGGGGAGTGCTGGTCTGTACTGCCTGGAGACTAAATTGGCAAAGCCAGTGGTGGGGGAGGTGCCCCGGCTGGGTGGAGGGTCTCCAGGGCCAAATCACCCACATGCCTGGCAGGGTGCTGGAACTAGGGATGCCTGGTTCCAGCAAGGGGCAGGCCCGCCCACCTGTCTGGTGCCAAGGCAGCTTCCTTCCTCCAATTAAACACTAATGAGGTGTCATTAACCCTTACCTCGCCTGCCAGCCCTCAGGTGGAACTCAAATTCATGGTCTCACACTGAGGGAAGGGGAGGAAAGGAGGGCTTCTGGGGAGCTGAGTGGTGCTGAGGGGACCAAGAGAAAGGAAGCCAGGGTCAGAGGCCTGAGCAGCGTTCACGGTTACCCTCTGCGATCTTCTAGAGTCTAGAAATGGTGTCCCACTGGGAGAATGCTTGTATTCCTTTGTTCCTTGATTCAACAATTATTAAGCACCTCACCTACTCCTACTAAGTAAATACTAGGCTGTGTACTAGATGCTGGGGATACACACTTGCATAAGACAAGATCCTTTCCCTTAAGGGATCTTCAGATTGCCCGAGGAGAGAGACTGGCCAATGAATAATTATAATGCAAAGTGAAAATGCTAATACAGAGCTATATACGAAGTGTTATGGGAACACAGGGAAAATGGGTCGTCAGAGAAGGCTTTGATTTTGAAGGACAAAGTTTATAGCAGAGAGGGGATGTATAGAAGTCATGTTGTCTGTAGGCTTGACAGTGTGAGGCTGTGTCTGGATGTGTTTTCAGGACTGCTGGTGTCCGCCCTCCCAGAGCTGCATGTTTGGCATTGTATGTATGTGTGTGAGTGTGTATATGTGTGTGTTGTGTCTGGAATCCCTTCCCCTGAAACACATTGTGGTTTTATTACAGATCAATGTTTGCTGTGAAGCTCTTGAGCAGATTGGCCTGAACCTGCCCAGCCCAGGGGAGGGGAAGTGGAAAACTGATGCTGGCTTCTTGGGAAAGGGTGGGCAGGCACCATCTTCACACCTGGGGCCCAGACCCCTGGCTGCCCAAGTGGCATCAGGCTGAACAAGGAAGGCAAAGTGTTGGGCCCCAGGCTTTGGTAGAGTGTGTCCAGGCCATAGTCCCCTCTGTCCCTAACTCCTCAGAGGAGACACAGAGACATGGGAGTTACTGCTACCCCTCCCCACCAAGATCTCAGGCCCCCTCCCCCAACCTGTTCCTCTTCTGTCTGTAGAGGAGCAGGCCGGCTCAGACCTGTTTCCTGGCTCTCCCACAGGGATCGGATCCTTTCCAGGGGACACAGAGGGCTGGGGAATGCTGGAGCTTACTGGACGGCTGCCAGATACTCCACCCTGGCCCTCGGAGGCTCCCTCCATCCTGGATTCTCCCCACCCACTCTAGGGTGCCACTCTTCGGGTTTTTGCCCAGACACAAACATCTTTGCCAAGGAAGCCTTCAATCACTAGGCAGAGGGTGGGGGCCAGAGCTCTGGCAGGGAAGACTTGTTGGGGGGCTGGTTGTGATGCTACTCAGAGACCTCTGCTCCAATCTCTCTTCCTCCTTGCAGTCACTTTCCACCTTCCTTTCTTTTCTTTTTCTTTCTTTTTTAAGAGGCAGGGTTTCACTCTGTTGCTCAGGCTGAAGGGCAATGGTGTGATCATAGTTCACTGCAGCCTCGGACTTCTGGACTCAAGTCCCCCTCCTACCTCAGCCTCCCAAAGTGCTAGATTGATTACAAGTGTGAGCTAATGCGTGGGCATTGAAGCTACTTTCTAGAAAACGAAACTTGGCAAGAGTCTGGATCTAGAAGACTTTTAGGGCTTAAGGAGCGTCTCCGGAGTCTGAGGAGAAGGTCAAGGACCCCTTTTTCCACACTGTCAAGGATAGTGACTTTTTTCGGACTGTAACCTCCTTTTCCTCATTTCATCTAATCTTTTTTTTTTTTTTGAGACGGAGTTTTGCTCTTGTTACCCGGGCTGGAGTGCAATGGCGCCATCTCGGC